TCTCGGTCTCTCTCTTAACTCCTTAAAAGGTATGGCAACAGCAAAGACCATGAAACTGAAAGGGACTTTGGGCGGACGAGAGGTGATTATTTTGGTGGACAGTGGGGCGTCTCACAGTTTCATCTCCGCGGATCTTGTGCACAGCCTAGTCGTTCCCACGGACTCGTCGGTCCGCCACAAAATTGAGGTGGGAAATGGAATGAGTTTCCAGCAGAGGGGTGTTTGTCGAGGGGTCAAGGTTTTCATACAGGGGCACTGGATTATTGAAGATTTTTTCCCATTTGAACTGGGCAGTGTCGATTTGGTGTTGGGAATTTCGTGGCTGAGGACTTTAGGCGAGGTCTGAGCTGATTGGGCTAAATTCACCATGCGTTTTCAGCAGGGGATGGAGTGGATTTGTTGGATAGGGGACCCTTCCCTGAGTTATTCGCCGGCAAGCTTGCTTTCCTTGTCACGAATTTGGAATCACACCAGGGTTGGGGTGCTTCTAGAAATTCAGGCAACCTAAGACGGAAACGTGAAGGGAGTTATACGACCACTCCCAAGCGGATGCAAGCACCTCATTCGGGAGTTCCAAGCCGTGTTTAGCATGCCAGAGGGGTTGCCGCCACGACGAGCCAGTGAGCATTGTATAGCCCTCCGAGAAGGTGTGTCCCCACCCAACATTCGACCCAATAGGTATCCTCAGGTCTAGAAGGCTGAAATAGAAAGGCTGGTCACGGACATGATGGCCTCTGGTATTATAAGGCCTAGCAGTAGTCCATATGCTAGCCCAGTGCTTTTGGTCCGCAAGAAAGACGGTAGTTGGCGTTTTTGTGTCGACTATCGCGCATTGAATCTGTTAATGATCCCCGACAAGTTCCCAATTCCGATCATTGATGAGCTGCTGGATGAGTTACACGGGGCAACAGTATTCTCCAAACTGGATTTAAAGTCGGGCTACCACCAAATCCGAGTTCGTGAGTGCGACGTGGAGAAGACGGCGTTTCGGACACATGAGGGGCATTACGAGTTCCTCGTCATGCCTTTCGGCCTTACCAATGCACCGGCCACCTTTCAATCTCTATTGAATTCGGTATTCCGTCATTTTGTACGGAAATTTGTTTTAGTATTTTTCGATGACATTTTGGTTTACAGCAGGATGTGGGAAGATCATCACGCACACTTAAGGAGCGTGCTTGAAGTGCTGCGGCGGGAGGCGTTGTTTGCCAATTTTGAGAAATGTGTTTTTGGACAGGGGGAGATCAACTACCTCGGACATGTGCTGTCGGCTGAGGGAGTGTCCGCAGACTAGTCTAAGGTCAGTGCGATGTTATCTTGGCCCTCCCCACGGAATGTTCGAGAGCTGCGAGGCTTCCTGGGCCTTACAGGCTATTATAGACGCTTTGTTCAGAGGTATGGTTCCTTAGCCCGTCCCCTCACTGACTTACTGAAGAAGGGCACTTCCAATTGGTCTTCCACAGCTGAGGTCGCCTTCCTCGTCCTTAAGCGCGCAATGACAGAGCTTCCGGTGTTGGCCATGCCAGATTTCTCGAAGTTGTTCGTCTTTGAAACCGACGCGTCGGGCAGCGGGGTGGGTGTGGTACTGATGCAAGAGGGTTGCCCAATCGCTTATTTTAGCAAAATGATGTCTGCGTCGTCCCGTTTGAAGTCAGTCTACGAGCGGGAGCTCGCATTTTCTCATTCGGGCCAATCAGAGGAGCCTTAAATTCTTTCTGGATCAGCGGGTGTTACCTCCAGAGCAGCTGCGCCTCATCACCAAACTCTTAGGATATGACTTTGAGGTGCAGTACAAACCGGGCGCCGCAAATCGGGTTGCTGATGCCCTTTCACGAAGGGGGGACAATACTCCAATGGAATTCGCAGCCCTTTCTGTTCCACAGTCGGTCAACATGGCGGCACTTTGACAGGGGCAGCTCGAGGATTCCTACTGCAGGGACATCATCACTACCATCCGCCAGGGTCGGCCAGTTGGTGAAGGTTATTGTCTTCGCAACAACTTGCTGTGGTTCTGAGAGAGGTTAGTTCTGCCACTTGCTTGGATCCCTCAGGTTCTCCACGACTTCCATAGTTCAGTGGTTGGGGGGCACTCTGGCTTTTTACGGACATATAAACGGATTTTAGCAATTTTTTTTTGGAAAGGCATGAAACAGGTCATCAGGGATTTTGTGTCCCACTGCGAACGTTGTCAGCACGCCAAGACATAAGCACTCTCCCCAAGGGGGTTACTACAGCCCCTTCCCATTCCTCAACAAATTTGGGAGGACATAGCGATGGATTTCATTGGGGGTCTTCTGAAGTCTAAGGGAATGGACACCATATTGGTGGTTGTCGATCGCCATCCAAGTACGCTCATTTTTGTCCGTTGGCTCATCCGTACACGGCAAAACAGGTGGCCGCTTTGTTTGTTCGGGAGATAGTTCGCCTACACGGGTTTCCTCATTCGATCGTCAGCGATCGCGACACCATTTTCATGAGTCTATTTTGGCGGGAATTGTTTAAATTGCAGGGAACCAAGCTACAATTGAGTTCTGCTTATCATCCGCAGACGGACGGCTAGTCTGAGGTGACCAACCGTTGTCTGGAAACTTTTCTCCATTGCTTTGCGTGCGACAAGCCAAGCTCTTGGCTGTCTTTTCTGCCCTGGGCTGAATTTTGGTTCAATACATCTTATAATGCGTCCATTAAGTGCTCCCCCTTTCAGGCAATATATGGGCGTAAACCACCTACTCTCCAGCAGTTCCAAGAGGACTCTACCATCGTCCATGAGGTAGCCACCCAATTATTGGAGAGGAATCAAATGCTGGATGTTCTAAAGGACCACCTCCGTTTGGCCCAACAACACATGAAAGAGTTCGCGGACAGGCATCGTAGGGAGGTTTAATTCTCTCCTGGTGACCTAGTATTGCTTAAGCTCCGTCCGTATTTCATGAAATCAATCGCTCGGAAGGTTAACGAGAAGCTCAGTCCTCGTTTTTACAGGCCATTCGCCGTTCGGGAAAGAATAGGCCAGGTTGCCTACTGTTTGGATTTGCCTGCTTCTGCCAAGATTCACCCGGTTTTTCACGTATCCCAGCTGAAGCAATTTGGAGGGCAGCAGTACAAGGGTCAACCGCTTCCTAAGCAGTTGACAACCGAGATGGAATTGGTTGTCAACCCGGCTGCTGTTTTGGACTCTCGCACCATCCTCGTCAGGGGGCGCCATGTGGATGAAGTCTTGATTCATTGGGAAGGCCTTCCCTCTTGGGATGCCACTTGGGAACCTGTTGCTGTGATTCGAGACCAATTTCCAGCCTTCAACCTTGGGGACAAGGTTGGTCTCGAGGAGGGGAGTATTGATAGGTCTCCTCCCATTAGGTTTGTTTATGCTAGAAAAAGGAAGAATGATAAGCAGGGGCAAATTAGTAATTCGAAGGAGGATTAGTCTCGGGGTGTGCAATTCTGTTAGGATCCTCGATCTGGGGATTGGGGATGGTGAGGGTGCCAATTCCGTTAGGGGGGTTGGCCTTTTAGGAGAGAGAAGAGTAGGATAAATAGCCCAACCGAGTGTTAGGGAGGGCATAAGATATTTTGCTGTAATCGTTTGTCTTTTGGAGGCTTGGGGTCCTCGAATTCCCCGTTCTATATGTACTTTCATTTTATTCCAGATAATACAAGAAACCAGACCATCATTTGGCTGAATTTCCATTCATTTTTTCTATTGAGTTTTGCGCATTTTCATTAGAAATAGGCTAGGGATTGGGAACCTAACACACACACACCGGATTTTCTGCAGATCACTTGTTTCTCCATCGTTCCTTTTCTTCAAAGATTTGGTGTAAAAATTTAGGGAAGTTTTGGCTTCAGTGGGCTTTTCCAAGAAGTGTTCTTGAATAAATGGGTGTGGATGTTCCATGTGGATGGAATAAGAAAACTAAACGGCTATGTAACATTGTAATCCTAGCTTCTCTTTGGGCGCTTTGGCTGAAAAGTGATAAGCCCTTACTCAGGCAAGTATTCATTAGGAAGAATGAGGCTCCGTTCATTTCACCGATTCGAGTTTAGAATTCGAGTTTTGTTACAGTAAAAAGCTCTTAGAAACAATCACATCTAACTTTTTTGCTACAGTAAAAAACTCTCACATAAAGTCACATCTCAACTTGAATTAAAAACTCAAATCAACGAACTAAACGGGCCCTAAGAGGATCAAGGGATGTTAGAGTGACGTGGCAAGACTGAATTACACCTCCTGATTGTTACAGAGCCAAAGCTTGTTAGGAAAGCTTGCACAAAGCTTGTTAGGAAAGCTTGTTATTGTTAGTTGGCTAGTTAGTTAGAGAAGGAAAGAAAAATAGTGAATAAAAGGGAGAGAGAGGTCGGGGAAGGATTAGGGAAAATATTGAAGGAATAGTGGGAAATCTTGGAGTTGTTCCAAGTTGGGGAGGCCGCAGACCCTTGAAGATCTGGCAATTTTCTTGTATTCTTGATTGGATATCAATATAGGATCATTCAGTTCTTCTAATTCTCTCAAATTTCTCTCATCAGTGTTATCAATTTCAGCTAGAATCTATCAAAAAGGAATAATCGAACCTTTGATGGGGTAGAGGGTGAGGTTTGTGAGGTTTGGGATCACATAATTTACTGGGTGGCGTTGTGGACTTCGCAAGATAAAGATTTCAAGGCCTTTTTATTCTCGGCTCTTCTACTTCGCAAGATAAAGATTTCAAGGCCTTTTTATTCTCGGCTCTTCTAAGGGGATGGAATCTAATTCTTAGTCCTGTTGTTTGTTGTTTATGGCGCTTGTCTATTTTTCCTTTTTTTCTAAAAGGTTGCTTTCTTATCAGTTTAGTCTGCTTCAAGGACTCCTTGTTCTCTGTTGTTTGTACTCCCATTCATTTTAATAATATTCTCTTGTTTCTTATCAATATATATATATATATATATATATATATATGTATAGACACACACACGCACCATATGCATGCTTTCTAATTTATACTCTTAATGTAATAAATCTGAAGGTGCGAAAGTCTGCCTGTCATTCGTTGTCTCGACTCGTCGTCCTCTCAGCTCATTTTGCTCTTGAAGCCTTAGACTTACTTATGGACATGCTGAATGATGATTCACTGATTGTGCGATTACAAGCTTTGGAAACTTTGTATCATATGACAGCCTGTGATCATCTGAAATTGCAAGATAAGCACATGCACATGGTATGACCTGATCATAGAATTTCGTACTGATTTTCCAGTAATACAATTTCTTCCCTATTACACCTCATATGTGATTTGTAGCATTACTTGATGGTTGTTAACTAATTCGTCCTCTTAGAGAAAGAGGTAGCACTAGCCATAACTCTTTCAGTTGATGGAATTTAGTTAGGTTTGTGACCAACAAAAGGTTTTACTTATAACTTCAGTTATAGTTTATGTAGGATTGAGGGGATTTGTGCTTTTTGTGACCTTTTAGCCTGCAACTGTTTCTCTTTCACTCTCGAATTTGTTAATCTCCAATGTTTTATCCAAATGTCATCGTGATTTAAAATATTCCGCATAATCCTCTGTTACCTTGCTTTTTACCCTCATATTATCTAAGAGGCGACATTTTACGTGCTTCAATAATGTATAATCATTTGATTTTTCAGTTTCTTGGCCCTCTGGCGGACAAAAGTAACTCCATCAGATATGCTGCTAGGAAAGTACTCAAATTAGTGAAGCTCTCAGTTTTGGAGCTGTTTATTTTAACAGTTGATGCTCTTCTAGAAAATTTGGCGAGATATCCAGAGGTCTGCCTTTTGTCCTTAATGTCACGTACTTTCTGTTGCAAAGTCGTAGAATTTATTTGTTCCTTAAAATATAAGGTGGCTTAACAGTTATCGCTCGAGTTGTTTACTTGTTTATTGTAATTCCTTTTTTATAAGCGTTTCCATTGTAAGCTTGTGACCATTCTGTCAATCTACTAAGGTTGGCTTTGTCCATCTGAGAACTTATACTTTCCAATTTCTTCTGTTATCATGTATCTTATGAGCTGCTTCTACCAGGATGAAGTTGATGCATTCTCAGTTTTTTTTCACATTGGTCAAAATCATGGAAAGTTCGTATCCTGCATTATTGAGGAGATTACTCGACAGGTTAGCATGATTGACTAATTGTTGAAAACAATAGCTGAATGTGTGAGGCTAGATTTACCATGTTTTATAAACTCTGCAAGACGAGTGAAAAGTGGGAGATTATTGTTTACAAAGCCTTTATCGTTTTAACAATGTATTTCTGAGGATTCCTTGTCCTTGAAAGTTCAGTTAAATGGATTTTGTGCTTTAGTAAAATGTTTTGTTTCTTATCAAAAAAGACTCTTATCTGCTAGTACATTAGCATGCCTATATTAATGTGTTCCGGAAGGAAATTGTTGGTGGGTGGTACCTCTGTGTGTGTGTGTTTATTTTTATTTTTTTGGTATTGATCGATTGATTAAAGGCACCCCCACCCCCTCCCGCTCATTCCTGTCTGTATTCTTCTCGCTTTTCCTGGTTAAATTGATCGGTAATGTTACTGTCCTCTTCATTTTCCTTTGCTAGATAGAGCCAACATGCGAAGGCAAGTTGGACTTTGATAATGTGAGAGTGGGTGCATTAATAGTCTTGGCAATCTCTACTCAATCCTCGGGTGAGCTTTCTTGCGACATATCACCTACAATATTTTCGTATGCAGTCACAATGCTGGGAAGGATTGCTGATGCCCTGAGTGACGTCATGAGTCAAAGTGCTCTTTTGGCTTTCTTGTCTAAGTGCAGTCAATCCGCAAGGCTCTCTGCTTTAGATTTCACAGAAAGCGAGCATCTCTTTGCTCTAACTAAAGTTGGTAACTTTCGAGATTACTCTAACAATAATGTAACTGATACTCTTGCAATGTTTTTGCCGCGAAAGATATTTGGGGCCTCTGAAATTCAGTTTTCTGGAATCACACATCCAAGGCAGTACCCGACTTTGCATTTAGACTACAAGTTGGAAGCACATGATGAAGTTATCAAGTCTCTGAACGCTATCCTTGCAAGGGTCAAAGATATTTGGCCATTAGTACTAACTGGAAACTTATATGAAGTGCTGAGGATTTTGAGGTCGTACTATTTTTTCGTTCTTTAGAATTTTTGTGGCTGTATATGGTCAAGGATATAGTCCATTTCTCTATTTCCTTTTTCCTTATTGCGGAGTAAATTAAAAAAAATAAAATGCGAAGGGAGCTTATTATTTATTGAAGTGAAATATTGCAGTCATTTTATGTGTGTGGATACTTTTTATGTTTAAGCTTATAGTTATGGAGCAGCTTTGTGTGTTGATAATTTTTATGTTTGATTTTGATAGTTATAGAGTGGGTATACTAAGGCATTCATGGGATTTAGTTGCTTCTGCCATCCCAGGACCTGCGTGGCCAAAGCTTGGGCATCACTCTGAATAGCAATTGTGTTCACGTATGCCCTTGCAAAAGGCCAAAAACTAGAGTCTGAGATAGATCTTTTTGACTGATCACTTGTTGCAACTTGGCATCTATATGTTAGGCAATGTGTTTGAATCGTGTCAATGCAACTCCCCCCCCCCCCAATCTTTTTGGGTGTATTTCTCTTTTAATATTATTCAAGTTCGTGCAGGAATTGCAAGGAAGAGTTGGCAACATTCAATGCGAACAATTCTACTGGGGTTTTGGCCTTTACACTGCAATATCTCCGGGTTATAAAACTGCTCTCCAAGGTGTGGCAGCACTTTCTGCCCTCAAGATTTCTTGCCTATAGGATGGGAACGTTGGATATTTTACTCGCGAAGCTAGACAGGTGGCTTAGAGAATTGAGGAGTAGGTTTATAGGATTGTCCAAGGAGGAGGAGTTGCATGTCTTGGAGCTGATGCTTGTGACTTGCACGCTCAGATTGTCTAAAATTGAAATTTGCTGCAAACATTCTACTCTAAAAAGGCTGTCCAGCACAATGTTACAGGTGGAGATTCTCCTTAAAGAAGAATCTGTGCAGCCTTCTGAGTTTGAAATTGAAGTTGGAAAATTATCATCCAAAATTCACACATCTGTCAGTGGGGGTTCCTGTGGTCCTCATCTCTTTGAAGGGCTGTCAGAATTCTTCTGTCTCAAACAGTTTGTGTTTTGTGGAAGACTGGAGCATGTAGAGGCAGAGCTAGATGTTCCTCATAATGACTCTGAACACCTGCTTTGTTTTGTTCCAGGACTACCTGTTGGCATATCATGCCAGATTACTCTCCATAATATTTTGATTGAGAGTAGGTTGTGGCTGAAAATGACAATGGACGATGGTTTAACTCAGTTTATCTTTCTAGATTTGAGTCTCTCCGAGGATCACGATAGCTATAGAAGGTTTTCATTTCTTGCGCCCTTTTATAAAACTCCAAATGCAGTGTCTTTTACTCTTAAGTTATGTATTGGTATGGAAAGCCCATTCGAGGATGTGCAAATTGTCAAAGGCAGTTGGGGTCCTAAACGTGAACTAGCATACCTTTGTGAAGAGAGGGAAGTTTTTCTTTCTTTGCTCACTAAAGGCTGAGTACTTTTTTATTTATTTATTTTATTTATTTTTATTTATATATATTTTTTTTTACATTTCCTACATCAGTTGGATAATACACCTCGATCGTTATAGTTGAGACATCTTTCGGCAAAATTTATGATGAGATGGCCCTGTTATGGGCTCATGTCATGGTAATTTATTCAAGAGGGGACGTGATGTAATTATGTGCTTGTTGGAGAAGGGAACCAATGATCTCTTCCTGCAAAATTGTTCAGAGAAACCTCCAATTACAGCGTTTGCCTTTCAGCGACAGCAATTCTCTGTCTTAGGTTGTCTTTGGGAAGCTTCTGGAAAATGGCTCTGGTGTTGATCTGCTTCTTCTCTGAAGGTATCTCTCCGCTTTACTTCCCGGCCTTTGTATCTGTAAAGATTGATTTTCCAGGGAGTCAAAACATAAAATTGTTTTTTCAGCTATCAAGATTGTCTTGTTTTCTTGTAATAACATTTTGCACCTTTGCAGTGGAATAAGAAATTGCAAATTGGAGTTTTTCTAGAGAATTGAGATGGAGGAACCATCCGATTAGTTCTTAGAATCTTGTCCTATGCATCCTGCAAATGCGTTTGGATATCTGTTAAGATCAAGGCTCCTGGATGGAGCTGGATCAAATTCTTGCACCTATTCTCTCTTTTCAAGTCCAAGGGCGTAATTCTTCAGTTCAATTGAGTGGAGTAGAGTCTCTCTGTCTAAATCCAGGTATTGATGAAATCCTTCCTCTCCAATTGCAAGTTTTAAGCGTTGTTCGAATTTTCAACTTCCAACACTCTTCTCACGAGACCGAAGAGGAGTGCAAAGCGTAAGGGACAATCACTTGTCCCACCATCAGGGTATCAAGTTTGACATTTCAGGGATACGAGTACTTGAATACCCTTCAAAGAGTAGTGTCAACCAATCAAGAATTCACTGTTAATTCTGAGACTTTGTATACAACACATGGTCCTATGCAGTCTTACATGTTTCTTTGGGGCTTGGACAGATCATGTCCGCACACACAACTCCAAACATTTGTTAGTGCATTGATGGAAAGGCTGCTATATGACACAAGGTCCTACGCTGTCTTTTACATGTTTCTTTGGGGGCTTGGACGGATCATGTCGGTACACACGAGTCCAAACATCGGTTAGTTCATTGATGGAAAGGGTGCTATCTGGGTTACATGTAATGGGACACGATGCACCAAACTCACGCGTTACATGTAATAATTTTTTATGTTGCAATACAAATAGGAGGACGTCTATTGTGTGCAATAAGAAACAAGTCATGCATGTAGTACGTGATATCCTTGTTTAATCGACGTAGTTATTAGTTTGAACAATATCAAACTCTTAAATGACTGAACAAGATTTAGAGATGCATGTCAATTAGTTGGAGATATGATCCAAATTCATATGCATGCTCCTAAGAAGTATAAAACTATAGAGCCATAAATAATAAAACAAGTTAAAAGGAAATGATTGAAGTAGTAGAATGTACAGCCTACTTACAGAGAGCTGTGCGGGGTGAGAATGATAATGGAATAGAGCAAGTTATTGTGGAATTTTTAAATTTCTTTTGTCCTGGTTGACAATGCGTGAGAGCATAATGATCTAAAGAAGGGGGAGAGAACGAGGAACATTTGTATAATTTTCGTGGATTTAAATTTCTCTCATAAATAGGTTTGATACACGTCCTTTGGACGTGTCAGGGGTATACAAGTAGTCTACGCTTCTTTCAAGTATATTTAGATTAAAAAAGATATATTGCTAAGTTTTACTGTTGGTAATACTTCCAACAATTAATAGTTGAACCTACATTTAAAAATATGAGAGTAAATCCTCAATTCACCAATGTATAGAAATTAATAGACCATTTCATAATTTTAATTTTTTATTCTTGTTATTTTTTCCCTTTTCTTTAGAAAATCTAGGTATATCTAAAATTTATCAAGTTAGAACCACTTAAAAAAGAATAGTACAAATTCTAATGGTAAATTTTAGATATACCTGATAAATTCATTATTTACCAAACTCATATCACTAAGGGAAAAATATATAAATTCTAATGGAAAATTTCAAATATATATACTTAGTAAATCCAGGTTTTACTAAGTTCGTATTAGGAGGAAAAAAATGAAAAATCTAATGCAAATCCTAAATATACCTAGTAAATCTCAGGTTTACCAAGTTCGTATTAGTAGGAAAAATTAAAAAATCTAATGGTAAATCCCAGATATACATGGTAAAATTCAGATTTACCAAATTCGTATTAGTAGGAAAAATGTGAAAAAACTAATGATAAATCCCAAATATACCTGGTAATTCAGAATTTACCAAGTTCATATTACGAGGGAAGAAGTAAAAAATCTAATAGTAAATTCTGGATATACCTGATAAATTCTGAATTTACCAAGTTCGTATTTCTAAAGAAAAAGTGAACAATCTAATGGTAAATCCTAGATATACTAGTACCTGGTAAAACCTGGATTTACCAAGTTCGTATTAGTAGGGGAAAAGGGAAAAATTTAATGGTAAATTTTAGATATACCTGATAAATTCATGATTTACCAAATTTGTATTACGAGAGAAAAAGTGAAAAATCTAATGGTAAATCCTAGATATACTTGATAAATCCCGGATTTACTAAGTTCATGTTAGTAGGGAAAATGAACACTACAAATTCTAATGGTAAATCCCGGATACCTAGTAAATCTCACACTATAAATTCTAATGATTAATTTCAGATATACCTGGTAAATCTCAGATTTACCAAGTTCTATTAGTAGGGATCTAATGGTAAAAATTTTAGATACACAGTAAATTCAGAATTTACCAAGAGGATATTTTTAGAATATCAGCTTATTGTAAATCCAGATTTACATCACATTGGCATATTTATTAATTTTTCTTAAAGAGTAACCTATTAATTTTAATTCTCTAAAATCTTAGCCTATTTCCCTAATCTCCCTTAGTAGTTTGAATTTTGTTGGGCAATCATAATCTTATTTATATTTTTAGTAAGAATAAATACAAGTTTGGAACCAATATGGAATGATAATCTCAAATTTTTGTTTCAACCAAAAATATTTTAATGATAATTATTTAAACACATAAGATTTTAGAAAGGGAAACAAAGCTAGACGTTGAAGTGACAAAATCCAAACATAAAAAGTGAATTTTTTTTAAAATAATTTATTAGGTAAAATAGTTTTTTAAAAAAGTATTGATTGGGACTATATTTGAGAAAATGATGGAAAAGGTATTTAACATGGACAGTTGGGAGAAAAAAAAAGTTAATAAGAAAAATTTTAAACAAGATTTAAAAAAAGAAAAAACTAAACACACAAGCAAACAAGTACAAAAGCTTAAATGCCATCCGTTCTTCTCCCAGAGACTACTTTAAAATCGTGCCTACGCACTTTGTACTATTAAGTTTCTTAATTTTATCATTGTGTACAAGTAGTATAACAAATCAATATTAGAATATATATATATATA